TCATTTTGAAGTATCAACCAAACTTACTTTAAGGTTGTCGCTATTGTAATTCTTGATAAGATTATCTCATGTACAACTTGTTTAATGAAGAACAATGTATTTGAGTCCTTTTTATTCTCTCTCAGTCTGGTTTTTTTATTTAGATCTGCATATCCATTCTCTAATAAGTCATAAATATCCTAAAACTTGAATAGTCTTCTTCTCGATACTTCAAAATTCATGGCAATTGTCTGAGAAGATGAAAATAAAGGGTTAAGACATGAAATTATCATTAAAAGCTATAATGCATAGTTTAAATTGAAACTTAGCTCTGTTAGTAGAAATGTTGGGGATGGAGGAGTAAAGAAACGATAACAAATAAAATACTACAATACAATTAAAAAGATAATGCTTTCAATTAAGAAAATTTATGTAATATTAAATAAAGGTAAGATATATAGCACTTATAAGATATTTCCAAGTATACATACTTTCTTGCTTCATAAACTATGATCATATTTATAGGACCTAGTGATAATTACCTCACCCCATAATGTTATCCATGATTGAGTTAGGTGTAGGAGCTATTCCATAACTTATATATCATGGGCTACTACTTAGAACATGCCTATAACTACTTAAAATATAATAATTACATAGAACATGATAACTATCTAGAGAACTTCTATGAATCAATTATCAATACTTTCATTACTACTTATGAAAAATCTAAAGAGGAAATCGACATGGCCTTCAAGTATTGCTTGGTGCATGCATGTCTCAAATGGAGATGACCATCGAGGAGTTCAAGGCTTTATTGAGACGGTTCGACTTAAACCATGACAGTTGACTTGGTTCTCATGTTAGGTCCAGCTCATAGGTGGGCTTGGATCGGACAATTTAGGCATTGAGCCCAAATATGATCTATTAAAATAAAAAGAAAAAATAATCTATTAGAGTTATTGTGGCATGAGAGGCATGCAAACGAACGGTGAAAAGAGACGGTGCAAAAAAAATAAAAAATGAAGGAGAGAGAAAATTAGAGTTGGAGACTTTTGCGGAACGATTAAGTGGTTAAACTTTATCGATTTTGGCTCAAATTTTATATAAATTTTTTTACAATAAACTCTATAATTTTAATGGTACCAATCTATAATTTGTCCTCTCTAAGATATTTTTTTGATATACCTACTTGATGAGATCTAAATTCTTTTTTGATGAAACTCATCTATAGTGACGATGATATATTATTGTTGAACCAAGATCTATATTCTTGATATTATTATGATCCTTTATTTATTTTAAAGAAAACTTATTATAAACCTATTATCATTATTGGTGATAGTAAAGGTTTGAAGTTGATTACAATCCTATGATTTTTTCCGTATAGGGTGTTTTACGTAAACATTCGATGTCTCACTTTATGCTTATTCAATATTCTATTATTTATATTACTCTGATTAATATTTATTTTTTTTGTAACAAGTTGATATTTAGATGAGTAATTCATTTTGATACACCAAAGGAAAAAAAAAAACTGATGTAATAGTCTTTCCCAACATCTCGGTGGAAGGCACGAGAGGCTATGAAGGGGGCTGACGGCACTCGAAATGAGATGATAGATAAGGAGGAGATCAACACGTTGTTGTTTATGCACGGCAACATCTCCACATGAAGATCTATGGCTATGATTCGTATCACTTCCATCTCTTCTTCTCCCTCTCTCTTGCCGAGAGAAGAAGAAGATATGTGCTCTAAATATTTAATTTCAGGGAATGTTCTATAATTCAGAAACCTTTATATGCTTTGAGTTCTCTGTCAATGCCAGATTGGAACCGAGTTCAGATCTAGATGTCTTGTTTGTGACGCAAGAGTGATACTACAGAATTATGGTTAATTATTTCACAAAGCAGAGTTGCCAAATCTCTCAAGATTGTGATATCTAAGGAGATTATGTCATGCATCGAAAGAAGAACATTGCATTCAGCAGTGTTGGTGATGAGCAATGCAGCATCTGGTTCCTCCCTGTGCCATCTTATTCTTCTACTCTGGATTGGGTGGTAGCCTTGTGTGATTCTCTTCTCCAGATCATGAAATCTCTTATCTCCAAACTTGGATTGCCACTCGTTTCATGTTCGATCATCCAACTCTTCAAGCATTATTATTACTTCTTCTTTTCTGCTTTGTGTCGCTTATAACCGGGCCACAAATACTCTCAAACACGTTGCAAGAAGTGGGAGCGGAGGAGCAACAATGGCCATCAAGCACACTGCCACCACCACCTGCCGGTCTGTGGACGGGGACATGACAGTGGAAGAGTTTCAAGGAGTGGCTGAAGATGTTCGACGCCGACAAGGACGGGCGCATAAGCCAGGACGAGCTTCGACGGGCCACCCGCTGCTTCCACACGGGCGGTTCAGCGGCTGGAAGAGCGCTCGCGGGATCCGCTACGCTGAAGCTGATGGCGACGGCTTCATCGACGACCTGGAGGAGTTTGCTCACAAGTGCTTGGGCAGCAAGATCGTCCCCTACAAGATGTGCCAGACAACAAGCAGAAGAAGTGAACGTGAGGCTTCGGGTGCTGCATACGAAGAGATCTGCTACTTCTGTGTGTTCCAAGCTTTACATGTTTGCTTGCCGCTGGGAATCAATAAACACGAGCGTCATTTTGATCGGGTTCTCATTCCGCTTTCCTGCAACGTGTACGTCTTCCATAAGACCAAACTCACGACGAATCCACATGGAGCACTGAGAGAGAAGAAGACTGCATCGGAAATGGATGGATGGATCCATCGAGTGCCATGTGCCCTCTGAAGACATTACGCTGAGTAAACAATCTGAGACACGAAGCAGCCTCTTCCTGCACTGCCTTTGATGGAACAGTGAAGACACTCATTGTTTAGAGAGAGATCGCAGTTCGGATTGGCATTATTATGTTAACATATCGCTCCTCGCCGCCCCATCTGCCAAAAGAATCTGCAAGCTATAATTCTAATGATGCTAAGCCTCAAATTTAGGTATCATCAACCTTTGACTGCCGACCACCTTCGGCTCTTCTGTCCCTCTGCAACTATAGCCCTAGATGTATAGGATATAACTCATGACCTTTGGAGCTGCAGCGGGGTGGGGAATATATATATATGACTCACAAGGCAGGAAGACTCCAAAGGGTTTCACTGATGACTCAAGACACCCTTTGCCATAAAGTAACTCAAGGAAGGAATCCTTGCCACCATGAGAGGAGACCAAAGGAGAGAGAAGCTAACACAAGGCTGCCCCTTTATCAACGGAGTAGATACATCTCTTTTTTGACTACTCCTAAAAGGGTTCCTCGTGGATAAATGTCCACCATGGCCGGGGCATGTGAATGACAGCCGTACTCTTCGGTGGGAGTAAAAGGTCCGGCAATTACTATCTACTTGGTTTTCAAACAGTCAAATCAACCTCCAGCGCAGCTATCAATTGAATGCCACATTAAAGGCCACCAGACAAAAGATACACTTGTGTGTCAGTCACTCCATGACCCACTGGCCTTGGGTGAAGAAAAGTTTGAAACCTCCAAGCCAAAGCTTGTTAGAGCTACAAGAGAGAGAGAGAGAGAGAGAGAGAGAGAGAGAGAGAGGAAAGTATTCCTGGGTAGCTCCAAAGTGCATGTGGGTTATCGATGCATGCAGGCAGAGTAAATTAGTTCGGTGATAAAGGACATGGAGCTCCCAACCTCAACTTACAGAGAAGACAAACGAAGAGGTTGGAAGAACTCTTCGAGACTCTGATGGCACAGTTTGCTTCGAGTTCCATACTTCATCATAAAGAAAGAAGTAGATATCTTGTCTTGGTATGGGAACAAAGGGAGCGATCTCTGGGGATCACGTGGTCTCACCCAGCTGTCCACATCGCCAGCTCACATGTTGGTGATAACAATGGAGTCAAAGACCGGTCAATCCAATCCCCTTTCTTCTTTCCTTAAAGTAAGCCTGGGATCTCTTGGCACTCCAAGTTGAGTAAGATCTCATCGATGTCTTCTCTGCTGTCTCTGCTTTCCAAGCCAACACTGTTACTTACTGGCATTATGTGTTGAGACAGTATTTAACTGTGATCATGCTCACCTTCAGATGACTGATTCTGTCTCCCAACTTAAATCTTGATTCTCCAGCTGGTATCTCATTGAGTTGGCCGGAGATGATGCCACCAGGAAAGCTCAGGTCAGGGAATAAGCAGACTCCAATGCACCGAGACTTTGACTTGTACAAGATGTGTTTATCATCTGACGGTCTAATTCATGAAGCTAATGCCTGTATTCAACTCCACATTCTATGTTATCTTGCATGCCACGCCACTGCATGGTGTCATTATCCTCGAAGACAGTGTGCAGAGCTGTATGCTATTGATCAGCGTTAAGATATGATGACCAAATTGAATCAGCTATTGTCCGTTCCCTATGGCTGAATCATCTTCTCCACCATTAACACGGACATTAAAGATCAGTCGAAGAATGCAGATTCGGCTCAAATGTTCTGAGCGTTTGAGCAATGTAATATATGCAACTACTAAATCAAAGACCAATTAGATGCAGATATATGAGCAGATGTAAACTCTGCAGCAATTCCACCGACACCTCAATGTTTCTTTTGGACGAGGGACCACAGAGAGACGCACCAAAGGTGGCAGCTTCTTGTGCGTTCATGGTACAGTAGAGTAGAGACGCACCCCCGTCCTCTCTCCATCCCTTCCCTTCAGATTTAGTACTCCATCTTTATTGAACTGAGTCACGATGGAGAGAGGGTTGTTAATTAACAGTATTGGACAGATGTAGATGCCACACTAAAGGCATTCGACAGTGCATGCAACGCCACCATGAGAGAACCATCAGCTCTCTCTCTCTCTCTCTCTCTCTCTCTCTCTCTCTC